GGTCCTTTCCATATTTTTACAGAGACTGCATAAGGACCGTTAGAAAAGCATTACCCATTGATTATTAAGCTTGGACCAGTGGGGTCCGGTGTTCGGGCCCCACCACGTAAAACCAGTCCCCATGACGTGAGTGGAATCTCAGGTTATGGAACCCACCAGGAGTTGAAAACAAGTGCACACACACACACACACAGTACACATACATCAAGGTAAGCAGAGAGCATCACTTCCGCGCTCCTTATAGTAAAAGTGGGTTAAGTGTCTTGCCCAAGGACACAATGACAGCAGTGGGAGTCGGTGGAGAAAGTCTTGTGGTGGGCTCGAACCCACAACCTCCAGGCTCACAGGCCAATGCTCTACCAACTGTCGACAGGGAGGTCATGATGAAGAGATGGCAGTTGTCCGCAGCACATGGACTCTTACATCACAGCAGGGGGCCAGATCTGGGCCATTTATCTTTTTTATAGCGTCCATGTGAATAGTTTTTTTTTTATTTTTTTTTAATCAATGTTTAAATCTTTTTCTTAGCATTTCCTTCTTTCTGCACAAACAGATTAGGAGGACAGTAAATAAAGTAAATATGATGCTACCATTGGTCTCCTGTCTTCTAATTTGTTTTCTAAACCCATTATTTTTAAAGAAGAAGAAAATAAGCCCCTCCCACCCCTCCCTGATCCTCCCACTCCTGCCAGGTGCCAAAAAGTGAAAATATAATAAAAAAAATGAATAAAAAAACAATAGTAATAATAATAATAATGATAATCCAAAAGAAAAAGACAAATGAAATGTACACAAAAAGGAGTTACAATTAAATTAAATTACAACAAAAATAATAATAATACAAATAATAAAATATACAGTACAGACCAAAACTTTGGACAACCTTCTGTGTTGAAAAAAAGATGACATTTTACTTCTGACAACTTTTACTTTCATCAAGTAAAACTACATTTGAAATAAACATTATTTCATAAAAGCCTGGTTTCAAGTCAAAGGGAGAGTCCTGATTAGTCCAGCATTTTAAAACTATTTTTGGGTCGAACATTTTTATGATTTTTCTTTATTTTTGTTCAGTCCATGTTAACAACTATAACTAACATGCTTTTTAAAGTTGAATCCTAAATTGTGCCCCTGGGTTTCTGAACCACAACAAAGTGTGTGTCCAGCAGCAAAAACACTGCAACTTCAGTCCGTGTCCAAACCACAGCAGCAGCGCAGTGAGAAAAACAACTTCCACGGTTGTTTTCCGGAGCAGTGAATACACATGACCCGCCAGTCCCTCCAGACCAGAGCCAGTGGATAAACAGCTAATGTCCGTGTGCGTTCAGTCTCCTGCACCGTGCCCCGGCTAAAGCCCATCAGCCCGGCGTGGTGCTTCCTTCCCCAACGCCCGCACCTTTAGCCCCCAACACTCCACGCCCCATAAATCAACCGCAGCAACATACAACATTACAATCATTCTGTAATGGATTGCACCTTTCATTGGGGGGATGCGCTATCCATTAAAATTCAATTTAGCCCTCACACTTATTTCTGCAAACAACTAAAAGTGCCAGTCATCATTTTGAAGTGCGGGCCGTAACTGGGGCTCTCCTGGAACGGGGAGATTGATGAGAACACAGATTAACACTTCATTTTCGACGCCACCGGAGGAACCCACGACGTAATGAGATAAATGAACTGAAGAGAGACTTTGTGAGAAGAGAAACAAGCTGGAAGTGACTACAGATCACGGCTGCACAAAGACATGAGACCAGTAAGTTCAATAGCGCTGCTCTAGCCCGGTCTTACCGCACCATGGTACTCATTTCATTTCATACTAAGGTCTGGATTTGCTCCATTGACTCCGTGAACAGGTGGGAGGGGTTAACTCCTTTTGCAGATTGAAACCATTGGATCTGAGTTTACTGTGACGTTTGTAATGAGCCAGAGTGAGTGAGGCATTTAGCATTTAGCCTAGCTTTAGCATGTAGCCTAGCTTTAGCATCTCCTTTGCCACTGACGGAGCCCGTGGGGAGTAGAGCCACAACATCTTTGCTTCAATGACATTTACTAAACATTCCTCTTGCTCCGGCTTCAGTTTCTTGATATTTGGATTGAACCAGAACGGATTATTTTACTATCGCATTCTCCGACAAACTACAACCAGCAAATTCAGCACAAACTCTTGACGTCACCGACACGACCTACAACACCCGCCTCCCCCGCTCTCTGATTGGTCGGAGGAGATTCAACCGAAGAAACTGCAGCCAATAGGATCAGACCCAGACGTACATGTAGGAAATGATCATGGACCAGAGTTTACACATGGTAAGACCAGACGTACATGTAGGAAATGATCATGGACCAGAGTTTACACATGGTAAGACCAGACGTACATGTAGGAAATGACCATGGACCAGACTTTGGAGAAACTCACAAAAACCCAGTGGGAAAAAAAGTGAGAAACCTCGGGAAGACCCACATATTGAGAAAGGGATCCGCTCCACACAGTTGGACGGGCTAATTATCCAGGACCTAAGCTACAAGGTCGGAGCAGGTCGAAACCTCCTGACACCAGTGTTGCAGATTGAATGGAGAATGTACAGGTCATATTCTAAGACTCTGACAACAATTCAATAATGTGCTGGAGGTACAGTGGGGCAAAAAAGTATTTAGTCAGCCACCGATTGTGCAAGTTCTCCCACTTAAAATAAAGACAGGTCTGTAATTTTCCATCATAGGTTCACTTCAACTGTGAGAGACAGAATGTTAAAAAAAATCCAGGAATTCACATTGTAGGATTTTTAAAGAATGTATTTGTAAATTATGGTGGAAAATAAGCATTTGGTCAATAACAAAAAATCAACTCAATACTTGGTAATATAACCTTTGTTGGCAATAACAGGTCAAACGATTACTATAGGTCTTTACCAGGTTTGCACACACAGTAGCTGGTATTTTGGCCCATTCCTCCATGCAGATCTTCTCGAGAGCAGTGAACACGGACTTTCAACTCCCTCCACAGATGTTCAATGGGGTTGAGGTCTGGAGACTGGCGAGGCCACTCCAGGACTTTCAAATGCTTCTTACGGAGCCACTCCTTCGTTGCCCGGGCGGTGTGTTTGGGATCATTGTCATGCTGGAAGACCCAGCCACGTTTCATCTTCAAAGCTCTCACTGATGGAAGAAGGTTTTGGCTCAAAATCTCACGATACATGGCCCTATTCATTCTTTCCTTAACACGGATCAGTCGTCCTGTCCCCTTAGCAGAAAAACAGCCCCAAAGCATGAAGTTTCCACCCCCATGCTTCACAGTAGGTATGGTGTTCTTGGGATGTAACTCAGTATTCTTCTTCCTCCAAACACGACGAGTTGAGTTTATACCAAACAGTTGTACTTTGGTTTCATCTGACCACATGACATTCTCCCAATCCTCTGCTGTATCATCCATGTGCTCTCTGGCAAACTTCAGACGGGCCTGGACATGCACTGGCTTCAGCAGGGGGACACGTCTGGCACTGCAGGATTTGATTCCCTGTCGTCGTAGTGTGTTACTGATGGTAACCTTTGTTACTTTGGTCCCAGCTCTCTGCAGGTCATTCACCAGGTCCCCCCCGTGTGGTTCTGGGATCTTTGATCACCGTTCTCATGATCATTTTGACCCCACGGGATGAGATCTTGCGTGGAGCCCCAGATCGAGGGAGATTATCAGTGGTCTTGTTTGTCTTCCATTTTCTGATCATTGCTCCCACAGTTGATTTGTTCACACCAAGCTGCTTGCCTTTTGTAGATTCACTCTTCCCAGTCTGGTGCAGGTCTACAATTCTTTTCCTGGTGTCCTTGGACAGCTCTTTGGTCTTGGCCATAGTGGAGTTTGGAGTCTGACTGTTTGAGGCTGTGGACAGGTGTCTTTTATACAGATGAGTTCAAACAGGTGCCATTAATACAGGTAACGGGTGGAGGACAGAAGAGCTTCTTAAAGAAGAAGTTACAGGTCTGTGAGAGCCACAGATCTTCCTTGTTTGAAGTGACCAAATACTTATTTTCCACCATAATTTACAAATAAATTCTTTATAAATCCTACAATATGAATTCATGGATTTTTTTTTTCACATTCTGTCTCACAGTTGAAGTATTATTTATTTATTTATTTCGAACCATGCACAATACACATTTTTACATATATCAATATAGCAGACAAGTGAACCTATGATGAACATTACAGACCTCTGTCATTATTTTAAGAGGGAGAACTTGCACAATCGGAGGCTGACTAAATACTTTTTACTTAATACTGTAAATATTCTTTTAAAAAAGGTCTCATTTGTTACAGGGGCAGCTCAAACTGCGTCTCAACCATTTTGTAAAGGTCTGTAATTTAAAAAAACTAGGGATTCTTTGTGCTCCAACACCAAAAACAGAAAAATCCGTCACATTGCTTTCTACGAAGAGTGAACATTAAAGTACAAACTCGTCCCAAGTCTCTGGTGTTTTTCTCTCACACAACTCTGTGTTTTCTGTGATGATGGCGTCTTTTGAGGAGCTCGCCCACTTCTGGTTGATATCAGTCGTACAAACAAATGGGTTCTTTTCTCCGCTCTTTCGTCTTGTTGTGTTCCTTGATAATAACATTGTCAGAAGCTGCATTATTCTTTGATCCTGTGCTTTTTTAGCTCTCTCATTTAACACCGTTTACACCAAAGTTGCTCGGCTCAGGATAGAGTTAAAGTGCCCTTCCTGCTGAGAGCTTTACAGACTCCATTCCCACACTCAGGCTATTAGCCGCAGGAGTCACTATGTTTATGGCTCCGGCTTGTTAGGGCCCTGGCTCCCTTATGCTATTTTACGCATTTTGTACTGCTTTTATAGACCTGAATTATGAATGCAGCTGTTAGTGCTTAATGCGTAACCTTCTCATGAGCTCAGCGTTCGTCTCATGCGCGGTAAGTAAAGGTCAAATGAAAGTAAACGAGACCTAAAAATACATAACCAGCAGGTCAGCAGTTCAAATAGCGCCTTTAAGAGATGTGTGATTGAGCCCAGCAGGAGTAGGGGCGGGGAGGCCGTGGGGGGTCCCGAGGCGCAGCGGGACGCCCAGGATGGATGTGACTGCTCGAACGCTCCCTTTTCATCAGCTGAGGCGGTGTGCAAGCAGGCGGCACAGCAGGGCTCTGATTCAACATGCGACACTCCTCATTAGGATGCAACATGGATGATAAAAGCTCGGGGTTTGTGAAATGAAAATAGTGAGGACGTTTTTGACAGAAAGACACCGGCGTAATCATTACAAACAATTAAAAACATTAACAAATATCGCAAACAGTAAAACACGATGACAAAAACTCAAGGAATCAATGTCAACGTCTAAATCTCAGTGTGTTTTGCTTCTTAAAGGTACTCTGTAATTTCTACAGTTGCTCCAAATGCAAAAAACATGTTAATCAATGACAAATGTGACCTTTATAAGAATATTCATCTCCACCATGTTTTTAAATTGTTGTCATAGGCTTGGAATTTGACTTATAAATGTCCGTGAGAGCTGGAAGACTCTACATGTCCATGCTCCATCTTGAAATACAGAGGTTGATAAGGGACAAAAAGGAGTTTGAGCGGGAGTTGGGGACCACTGTCAAAGACGACATATTGTCCTGCGAAGCCACTGTAGTACCGTAAATAACAATATCTGATCTGATGGGAGTAAAAACTACACAGTGAACCTTTAACCATCTCCATCGCAGACTCCAACCAGTGTTAATTAGGTCTGATTTTTGAATAAATTGATTTCAAAGTCATTTTAGTCCATGAATAAAAGACAAAGACAATAAATAGACCATGAAGAAAGAGTCTGGATTCGTACAGAACTTTCCAGAACAGACGGATCACAGTCCTCTTTCAGACCTTGATTAGACCGTTCTCTGTCTGTGATGTCACCGAACCCCAGTCACAGAACCGACAAGAAAACTTTCAATGGTGCGGCGAGAACATTTAAGCAGGATCTTAGAGTTTTGGGAAACTAGTCACTTTATCTGTTGTTAGTATTACTGTATTATTACTGCATTATCTAATATCTAATACTTATACCATTCACTAGTCACTTTACGTCAAGAGTTTGCGCCGAAATAGCTGGTCGTAGTTTGGCAAAGAATACGATAGTAAAGTATTCTGTTCTCACTCGGGCTCATTACATACGTCACGGTAGCCTGGTCTTATCCATCCGTACTCTCCGCTCAATCATCATTTCACTGCATGTAACGTCTGGGTCTGGTCCCTGTGTTAGCGTTTACAATCGGTCGTATTTCGACCGGCTACTCAGAGAGCGCGGAAGGCGGGTGGTGTAGGTCGGTGCCGGTGACGTCAAGAGTTTGCGCCGAACGGGCAGGTTGTAGTTTGGCGAAGAATGCAATAGTAAAGTAATCCGGTCTGGTTCTATCAAGAAACTGAAGCAGGAGCAAGAGGAATGTTTAGCAAATGTAATCACTGGTCAAGATTGTGGCGCTACTCCCCACGGGCTCCGTTAGCTGCAAAGGAGATGGCTAAAGCTAGGCTAAATGCTAACAACAGACTCGGGCGCATTACAAACGTCACGGTAAACTCAGATCCAAAGGTTTCAATCTGCAAAAGGAGTTAGCCCCTCCCACCTGTTCACGGAGTCAATGGAGCAAATCCAGACCTTAGTATGAAATGAAATTTGTACTAAGGTGTGGTACGACCAGGCTAACGTCACGGTAAACTCAGATCCAATCGTTTCGTTAACCTGTAAACGGAGCAAATCCAGACCTTAGTACCAAATTAAAAGAGTACCATGGTGTGGTAAGGCCAGGCTTATATATAGACTAGTGTGTTTAGTGATGGTTGCCAGAAAAGGGAGTCATTGTGAAAGGATTTCCAGCTTCATTTGGGAAAAGAGACTGTGCATGTTTAAATATGTAAGTTCTAGTTTTGCAGTAATCTATCGCAATTAAAACAACCCTACACTTCTAAAGTCCGCCCGTGAATAGCTTAAAACAATTACATCTGAGTGGCTCATTTCATTACACTAAATCCTACTAACATTGAAATGGAACAACTGCATGTTTATGGGGAAAATGAAGCTGCAGCTATTTCTCCGGAAAGTGTTGTCATTTAGAGGACAATGTCGGCTAATGTACGTAGCATTAAGGCAGCTTAGCAACTCCTCCTCCACTCCGAGCCAAACAAATGGACTTCGTTTAGGCTCCGGCCCCAGCGGAGTCTAAATGTAGATTCAAAGGGAGATGTGTTTATAGGAGGAGGACGCTCGGTGCTGGAGCTGAATGCTAATGTGCTGCATGCTAATGTGCCGCATGCTAATGTTGTTGATACTAATTATATTTCAGTTCCCTCCTTCTGCAGATGATTGTCTGACTAATGTAATATAAAGGTGTGTGGGTTCAGTCTGTCACAGCTCAATATTATTCTCCACACTGAACATTACGTCTTGTTTTTGTTTTTTATGCATTTAGAGCATTAGTGAGAGTAACATCTACATCTAAAATCATCCTCAATTTGATTTAAAGAGCGACTAAACACCTGTGCCCAGCCTGACTCCGCCCACATGAAGATTTGAAAATGTTCTCTAAAAAGGGCGTTGCCTGGAGGACCAAGGGACAAGAAGGGGGGCTTAGAGTTGGGCGTGGTCTGGGCTGTGATTGACAGCTCACGTGTCACACACAAAAAAAACAGACAGTTGTCATTGCTGCTTAAAGCAATAGTTTACAGACCAGAAAGTCTAATTCCACCCTTGATTATACACTAAGATAATTGTAAAGCTACACACCTGAACCTAATCACACTCAATAATCTCAGAATGACTCATGTAATTTAATTTTAATCCACTAGATGGCGCCAGAATACTCCAAACTGCAGCTGGGGCGTGTGTGAGAGTTGAATGGGTTCACATCACTGGCTCTGACAGACTGACGTCACACAAAACAACTGATGTCATAGAGAACTTCAGAGTCAATGGAGAGGCCAGGACCAAATTCAAATGTAGTACCACCAAAAAGGTTGAGAGGGCGCCACACAGACGTTTTTTGGCTCATAAGTGATATTTTATCTAATTTGAACTAAAATGTCAAAGAAATGACCAAGATATGTAGACAGCACTACAATAAACATACTTATCCAGTTTATGAGTTAAAAAAAGTTGATTTGGTGTTTAGTCGCTCTTTAATAAATGATATAGTTTTTATTTTTACAGGGACAGAGTACGATAAACATTAGCCAGAAGGAGAGATGCATTGTACCAGGTTGTAGCAGCAGTGCTATTTTACACCTGTAGTCCCTGTAGAATTAACACTTTATTTGGTGTGTGGTTAGCACTCTCACTTCTCAGCAAGAAGGTCCTGGGTTCAAATCCCGGTTGGAACAGGGATTTTCTGAGTGGAGTTTGCATGTTCTCCTTGTATCTGCTCCGGTTTCCTCTACCACTAAAAACATGCACAATAGGTCTGAGTGTCATGAGTGAGTGACTGGAGGGTGTTTGGTCGGAGGCTTTGATGGACCAGTGTGTTCCACAGCAACACATCTGTACACAACCACAGCAACACATCTGTACACAACCACACACCACATCTGTACACAACCACAGCACCACATCTGTACACAACCACACACCACATCTGTACACAACCACAGCAACACATCTGTACACAACCACAGCAACACATCTGTACACAACCACAGCAACACATCTGTACACAACCACAGCAACACATCTGTACACAACCACAGCAACACATCTGTACACAACCACAGCAACACATCTGTACACAACCACAGCAACACATCTGTACACAACCACAGCAACACATCTGTACACAACCACAGCAACACATCTGTACACAACCACAGCAACACATCTGTACACAACCACAGCAACACATCTGTACACAACCACAGCAACACATCTGTACACAACCACAGCAACACATCTGTACACAACCACAGCAACACATCTGTACACAACCACACACCACATCTGTACACAACCACACACCACATCTGTACACAACCACAGCACCACATCTGTACACAACCACAGCAACACATCTGTACACAACCACAGCAACACATCTGTACACAACCACAGCAACACATCTGTACACAACCACACACCACATCTGTACACAACCACAGCACCACATCTGTACACAACCACACACCACATCTGTACACAACCACAGCACCACATCTGTACACAACCACACACCACATCTGTACACAACCATAGCAACACATCTGTACACAACCACAGCAACACATCTGTACACAACCACATCTGTACACAACCACAGCATCACATCTGTACACAACCACAGCAACACATCTGTACACAACCACAGCTCTACACAACCACAGCAACACATCTGTACACAACCACAGCAACACATCTGTACACAACCACAGCAACACATCTGTACACAACCACAGCAACACACAACCACAGCACCACATCTGTACAAAACCACAGCAACACATCTGTACACAACCACACATCTGTACACAACCACAGCAACACATCTGTACACAACCACACATCTGTACACAACCACAGCACCACATATCTACACAACCACAGCAACACATCTGTACACAACCACAGCAACACATCTGTACACAACCACAGCACCACATCTGTACACAACCACATTTATGGAGCTTTCTCATGTAAAACAATCTAAACAGAGAATCCCAGAGTTCCCAGAATGCAACTGTCTCTTTTTCAAACTACACACATGTGAAAGTGACTTTGAGGATAACACTTTCCACCACAAGCATAACATTTGCATTAACGTTGCTTTAAAGTCATGAGGGTATAATTGAGCAGCCGAGCCAGAGGATTGTCATCTGTCAGCAGTTTGACGGAAACGCCGGACTTCAAAACCGTGGGACAATCGCAGAAGGAGACGAGCCGAGGATTACTCCCCAAATCCTCGTCCTTGACTGTTCTTGAAGCTAATCTGCACCCGCTCTCTTCGGACCACAAGCCTTTAGCAGCTCTTACGACAAACCGTTTAACAAGGCCTTTATCGTGCAGCACATACAACCATCTCCAAAACGGTTTTCTACAGATGTGACTATTTTATGTCCGCTGCGATACGGGGAGAGAAGGGTTTGATTTGTTTATAAGTCAAAAAGTTATTGGGTTTTCATGACAGGACAATGGATACGGGATTCAACTGTGGAGGTGATCCAAATCTTCTGCATCAGGGGTCTCCAACCTTTTTCAATCGGAGAGCTTCTTTTACACAACTGAAGAGGCAGAGAGCTACTCCTTTTTGTGGTCATAATAAAACTATGTAATAATAGGGAGTAAATAAAACAGACATTCCTTAATACTGTATAACCCTAAATTTATACTTAAACTAGATCTGAAATGACTAAAAATGTATTCATTTAAGATAATTTGTTACATTCTAAATCCTATGGGGAGCTGCCTGAAAGGGGCTAGCGAGCTAATGGTAGCTCCCGATCCACAGGTTGGAGAGACACCTTTTCTTAATGTAGGATTAAGAGACCAAACAATAAAATCCCACAAAAGTAGTATCCAGTATATACCCAGGACTTGAGTTTGTTTTGGTCAGATGGATACATTTACTGACTTTGATATCTAAACTAATGGGTTTATGAAAGAATCATCATCAAGCTAATATTATAACAAAAATAATCTTCCCTAGATGCAAAGAAAGACATGTTTTTGCCCTGAAAGACCTCAAGAAAGTATTGTTGTCACACAAGAAACAAATCACAAACTGAAAAGTGAGATTTTTGCACATTAAAGATGGCAGATCCACTGTTTTTGTCTGTTTTAAATATTTCCCTAAAACCGGAGAAGTAAACAACATCGGAAGCATCCAAGCATCCAGCCATGTTTTTAATTGGTTGATCCTGTTTATTACCAACGCCCCCTGGTGGATCGTCGAGGTCACACACCCTCCCAGATTACATATGCGTTTGTAAAGATTCACAAAAATCTGTGGTGCGGCGGGACAGACGAGCTAATCTCACCCAGACTCTGTCCGCACAAATACACAGCGTGAACAAGGACAGTGCTGATCTGAGATGCAGACACGAGGCCAGTGGTTACCCCGGGGGCGCTGCAGGCATCCACTGCTCACATCCGGCACAACACTAATCTGGCCTTTACGGACAACTCTTTAGCCCAAATGCAAAATGTTATGTGTTGCACCGCTCACAACCCTCAGTGTACGCAATATCACACCTGGGAGGGGCAGCATCATGCTATAGCCCAGCTTTTCTTATGGGTGGAGCAGATTACAGATCATTTTGAGGAACAAACGCTGCCAGAGCCACATACTATTCACTCATGCAGTATGTGTGGACATTTATTATATGACTCGGACCGTACGCGCGCTCTGATTGGTTGATTTGCGGTCTGATATTTTCCCATCTCGGACCGTTACCATGACAATCGGTCCACAGCGCGTATCACACAAAACCAAGACGGACATAAACATACTTCACAAATATCTCAAAAGCATTGGTAAAGACACACACGGTCTGTGCAGAGAAATATCAGACCTTGGTGTTTTTGCACAGAACTGTACTTTAAGGCTCGGTCTGATATTTCCCCATACAGACCTCGCCCTCGGTTAATAAGCCGTTATTATCAACATTCATGGACATTGGTTCTCTCTATGGTCCAATAATGTTCTATATTTTTGGGGTTTTAACTGTCGATTCTCTGATCTACTTTTGTTAAGTCTTTGAGAAAACTACTGCTGTGATTTAGGGCGATACAAGAATAAAGTGAATTGAATTGAGTGATGCAACCCACACTCTGCTTCTCTGTTGTCATTTTTTCAGAGACAGGTTAGATTTGCGGAGAACAAGCCGGAAGTCGCGCGGTGCTGCAGTACAAACGGTCCGTCTGAAACTCATCCAGTGAGAAGAGTTCCGCAGCACAAAAGGGAGATAACGATTAAAATGCGTCCATTTTTTTAACGCGCTAATTTTTGTGTAATTAATTCTTCTTAATTAACGGCGTTAAAGTCCAGGCCCTAAAAATAACATGTTTGTTTGTGGTCCTTACATGACCGAATGTGGCCCAAGCCGTGACTTCCACAACATGCACTGTTTAGTGAAGGTTTTTCATAAAAGTAAGAAATATAATCAATAAGATGGGGACAGATGTTGTGGTCTGGAGCTGTACTCTTGGCAGAAGTCTGTGATCTACAAGAGCGTTTCTAGTTTGTCTGTGTTTGGAGCAGAGAATATGATGATCCAAAGTAGGACATTTCACACCAGGGCTGCTTTACAATAATAAAACATTATCACGATGAATAATTCTGTGATGCGGTTCCAAAGCTTTGTAAAAACATTACTTTTATAAATGAAAAACCTTCTGATCCAAACAGTTTTATTCATTAACTTTAGGATTTTAAAGTTAAATAAAGGTTTTACTTCATTCAAGCAACAAAAACAACCTTAAACTTTATTTTTCATTACTAAACCTTTTATGCAGTAATGTGGATAAATAAATAATACTTTAACTTGTTTAACTACTGAACTTTAATCTTATTTTTATCTATATACTTTACTGCAAATGGCAACAACAGCAAAAACTGAGTCTGAATCACAAAGGTTTTTCTGAGACAGACTCAGTTAGACTGAAAAAAAAACCGTAGAAATGAAAGAGACAAAAATAAAACCGCAAAAACACACAATATTTTTGGAAATATTTGACCAAAAAAAAGGTCATTTTAAGATTTTTCTTTATTTTTCGTTCTTGTACGACGCCGACCTCGTTTCTCGACTGTAAAATCCAACAGACATCAGTTCAGCCTTTTAACTTCAAGAGCGCTAAAGTGGGTTACCTGCCGAAAGGAGGCTACAAGTCCCTTAAGTGGGTAGTATAAGGAAGGAGCATGGGAGCTGGGGGGGGGGGGGGGGGGCAGGAGGGGGTAGCATGGGAGCTGGGGGGGAGGGGGGGGGGGCAGGAGGGGTAGCATGGGAGCTGGGGGGGAGGGGGGGCAGGGGGGGTAGCATGGGAGCTGGGGGGGAGGGGGGGTAGCATGGGAGCTGGGGGGGGGGGGGGGCAGGGGGGGTAGCATGGGAGCTGGGGGGGGGGGGGGGGGGGGGGGGGGGGGGGGGGGCAGGAGGGGTAGCATGGGAGCTGGGGGGGGGGCAGGAGGGGTAGCATGGGAGCTGGGGGGGCATACACCAAATGGCAAATCGCAATTAAAAAAAAAGACATTATTAAACGAGCGCGAGGTCTGTACAGAGAAATATCAGACCGCGGCCTTAATGTCTGTGCAGAAAGACCAAGGTACAGACCGAGCAAGCGAGGTTAATAAATGTTTTATTATATGACTATTTTTAATTTATGCAAATATCGATCTCCAACTTGTTTTTTTTGTGTTTTTACCTTTCTGGTCTGTAACGAAGTTGTCAATCTCTTCTTGACAGTTGGGAGTTGTGTTTTTGTTTTTATTTGCTGTTATTACTTCCTCTGGCTCTTCGACGTCGTCCGTTACCATGACAAACGTTGACCGATTGTCATGGTAACGATCCGAGATGGGAAAATATCAGACCGCAAATCAGCCAATCAGAGCGCGCGTACGATCCAAGTCATATAATAATCTCCTTCAGTGCTGTATTTTCCAGCTCTGTGATTTTTTCTGCCTGAGATGTTGCTGCAGTTCAGTGTTCATGGTTTTACGCTGGTCCAGACCAGAGCAGAGAGGATTCATGGTTTTACGCTGGTCCAGACCAGAGCAGAGAGGATTCATGGTCCGAACCAAGTGGATCTGCCAAAAATCCACCGGAGGAATGCAAACTTTATGAAAAATGTCAACAAAGCATTTTACTTGCTTTACTTTGGACCAGAGCAGAGAAAATGGTCTGAAACAAGCTCCACCTGCTGCTGTGACCTGAGGCTGTTGTTATTAATAATAATAATAATGCATCGGTTTTATATAGCGCTTTTTTGGACACTCAAAGACGCTTCACATGTGTCATTATTCATTCACTCCATACACGGTGGTGATAAACTACTAATGTAGCCACAGCTGCCCTGGGGCACACTGACAGAAGCGAGGCAACCAGTATGCGCCATCGGCCCCTCCGACCACCACCAACCATTCATACACACACCAGACTCATTCTAGGCAATGGGGGTGAAGTGTCTTGCCTAAGGACACAACAGCAGTTTGGCACTTTACAGCCGCAGCCGCCCCACTGTGGCTGGTGTTCCCAGAGGTTAAGTGTCTTGCCAAGGACACAACAACAGTAGTCAGTGGGAGTCGATGGTGAAAGTCTTGAGCAGGGCTTGAACCCACGACCTTCTGGCTCAAAGGCCAACGCTCTACCAACTGAGCTACTGCCGCCCTAACTAACTAAATATTACTAATAATAGTAATATTATTACTATTGTTAGATACTTTTTAGAATGATCCATTTTATTATTTAATTTTTGCTGCTACTGAACACCTGCATTTTTCCTACGGGGATCAATAAAGTATCTGTTTATCCATCTTTGACTGTAGTAGAATGTAGAGTGTCCAACAGAACCTCCTGCATCGGCAAAGACAAACTAACACCTGAGATACCGTCACACGCTCTGTCCTGTCGACCTTTTCCTCACCGCGGTGTTACCCTGAGATTCAGAAGCAAAATCTATACATGTGT